ATTCTTCACTTTCATCTACAACCGCAGTTCATATATGAATTATTTCATATAAACTTCACATCCTTTCACTCCTCACGGGAAGATATGAACTTAATTAATAGACCAATTTCGATATATTAAAATTCAGCCTAAAACAATAGACCCCAGTACGAGGCTGTGGGGAATAACTACAGAGTTTGTGGGGTTTATTCCCCAGAGCCTCGTGCTGAGGTCTGTTGTGTTAGGGTGAATTTTAATATATCGAAATTGGTCTATTGACCTCGCTCCCAATGTGTGGCTTCATAGCTCAGTTGGTAGAGCATCGCACCGGTATCGCGGAGGTCACGGGTTCGAATCCCGTTGAAGCCCTGAACTTTTTTCAGGCTTCTTCTTTCCAATTGCTTAAATTAGAAAATTTACTGCGATGATCATTCTTCACTTTTAACCTCTTAAGAAAGAAATCAATTCATTACAACAAATTCTAGTCAGACGCGTGTAACCCCTTTGTAATTGAGCTCATTACAACGACAACAACAACAACCATTTTATTTTGCATAACAAGTATTGAGGAAACGAAATTTTTACAAGAGACAGGCATAAGTTACAGATTGGGCCAAACGTAGATATCTGAATCTAGGTATACACACAGCACAACATGGAAACTTTGCTGTTTTCCAACAGGTGTACACCCCCCTCGTGATCTTGTGGCTCAAGAAAGATCACGCACAAGAGCCGATAAAAACGAGACGGTTGACCCAGCGGCTAGGCGAAATCTTACAGAACATGCGCCAGCTCAAAGGGGCCGACCTCCTTTGAGGAGGACTGAGTCGACTGAAACAAGTAAATCTGAACAGGACCATGTGATGTTGACAGAAGATAGAAGAACGACCTCGTACCGAGGACGAGGCTACGGGTACAAACAACAAACACGAGCAGCGACGCGCTTTGATCCAGTTGATGATTTCACTTGGAGGTGCAACCAGTGCTTTAAAGCGTTTACAAACCGCGAACAACTTGAGGTACATCATTGTAATGGAATAACCGGCGGAAAGAACTTGACTTGCTCTCACTGTAGCCAATCATTCTCACATCCAGTGGAGTACCGCACACACATGGAAACACACGTTAACGAAAGACCTTTTAGATGTGGATACTGCGCAAGCGCGTTCGCGAGCGCCGCTTTGCTCAACCAACACGTGCGAGTGCATATGACTGAAGGGAGTCTGGGTCCGATCAAGCCGGCGCCCAGACACGATAGGGCGAGTCAAGAGTTTCATTTTTGAAAAACTTGTTAAAAGTCGCAGTGAACATTCCTTCATTTGCATACGGGTGTATCCTGATTGGACGTCCTCAACACGAGGGATTGTTTAACCTTTTTGTTAACCTTTTGAATTCGAAGAGGTCTTTTCATAGTCTAATTGAGAATTACTATTCGAATCGAAAGCAGCCAATTTAGTATGGAACGGAGCAACTTCGATAAAACTGTTAATTGATGCCAAGAATTCTATTCGATCTATCCATATTTGTTCTTGCTCTTTGCGGGAGTACGATGGCACACAAAGTTAAGTTAATATCCGTCTTGAGCAAATCTGAAAAACTCGTGAAGTATGACTTAGTTTAGAAATGGTTGTCGTAGAAGAGCAATCCAGTTCCTGTGGCTGCAAAAATCATAACTAACCTTGGTGAATTACAATGACTCTTTTCGGTCGTAAGCAAATATTTCGATGTTGTAACTGGATTATCGTGGCCCGTAATTATAAAATTTATAATTACTTGGCAGTTGTGTAAAAACACGGGCTATATTTGGCATGCCTTTTGTCCTTTTGGGCATTCACATTCATGACGGAAAACGTAAGAAAAATTGACCGCCATATTGGATTTGAGTTTCCGAGAAGACACTGAGGCATCGCTGAAATCGTTTGTAATCTGTTTAAAAATATTTTTATTTGAGTAAAAAAATGCATCGTCTCAAATATCATATCAGTATATCCCTACAGCAGTAACACAAAAATATTTTGCGATTCAACACTATAAATACAACGGACATTGCTATATCAAGCTTTTCAAATCATGACCAAGAACTTTAGGGTCATTTACTTACTTGAAATATTGTTTGCTCATAATTTTCTGTTTCGTTGTTGGTGTTACATACTTTTTAAATAAAATTACTACCTTCCATACATTTATTCTAACATGGCCTATTCAGGAAATTAATGTATTTATCCCACAGGCAAGATATCCTTGCAAAAATCTACATTTAAATGACTTTGTCGTTTACGACAGTACATTTTTGTGCTAAATGACATTTTAGCTAATATCTCTTACTGTTTATAACCCGATTATCTGTTTAAATATACCGTACTAAATAAAGCGACACTTAAAGAGCTTGTGAAATTTAGTAAATGGTGAAATGTGTGGTTCTTGGGGTGCAATATTCCAGGAGAAATTGGCTTTTAAAAACTTCAAAATTTCTGAGTGGCACAAGCCCTAATGGACTCGTACATTCTTTTTGAAGTTTTGGGTTTTAAAACCAACATAAAATAAAACAAATATTCAGTACATCGGGATCAAATCCCTTGGAACAGTTAATAGTGCTATGCCCTGTCAATATTCAGCACCGATATTTTGGTAGCTCTATCAGAAACTAAATCGCTTAAAATATGCTAATGAGGCAAATATTGTAAACAAACATTCTCCTAGTCATGGTAAAGATAGGACAAGAGGAGGAAGCAGATAAACTAGGAATGACTTGACTAACGGTTCTTCTACACCCTTCCCATTCTCCTGAAGCTTCTTGTCTGACTACAGTTTATTGTTACAAGTGACAATTTCACTGAAGTCCATCAGCTTTCTGAAAACTTATCAGAGTAACTTTACTCGGATTTATTTTCGTAGCAGTAAACTGTTGGCTTGTTATCCGGAGGTGAGCGCAGAATTTCTCCAAGATCCTGATCTTGAAGGGCTTCGAGCTGATCGTTCTTCATGCACCTAGGATATATATAAAAAAGAAACCACTTGTTGAATATTACAAAGAATTGCTGATTACCTGAAGCCTGGTTCACACTAGCGACATAACGACATCGTCACGAACGATATAAAAAAGACGTTATCTCGACGTAAAAAGGACGTTATGTTTGCAGTGTGAACATGTAGATATAATGACATTTAGCAAGATAACAGCACGAACATAACGACATAAAGATAAAACTGATCTTTTCCTTATGTCGTTATGTCGCTAGCGTGAAGCAGGCTTAACAAAGCAAAATGAACGATACCAACAATGTAGCTTTGATATGACTGTTCACACACAAGTGTCATAGCTACAGACTATCTGTTTAACAAATAGATTCCATTCCGTCAAAATGTTGTAAGAACATGAAAGTGGCACACGGGTGTGTCACTGATGTTCTTACCACATGTTGACTTCTTCTGTGGTCTATTACTGAACAGATGCACGGCAACATGGAATCTAACTCTTTTATCTAATAAAGAATAATAATAATAATAAAAAATTGTCAACGACGTCACCTATGCGTCTGTTTTCCAATTGATCATAAATAAGAACCAATCAAACTCCGAGAAGAGTTTGACTTATTATATAAATAAAAGTACTACATGAAAGTACTGCTCAATAGCTTCCATTTCAATGAACACACTCTAGGGTCACTTAACACAAGTATTATCTCACCACAATGCAAATGCATCCTCAGGGAGTTTAAAAGTATTAGCCGCCGCACGCAAAAGGTCCTGGGTCGAGGCCGCTTCGTCCACTTTAATGGATCGCGTGAGAACCAACTGAACCGTGACAGTGACGTCATTTTTTGCACTTGATTCTGCTGGAGATGATACGGACCGATGAGGAAGAGGACTTTTCGATCTCGGGGCAGGAGGAAGGGGCTTGGAGGGAGGTTTCATTTCAAAAGTGGAACGCGATGGTGCGGTTTCCACTGACGATACAGATATCTTCTTACGAGACGATGGTGAGGGTGAGCGAGACTCGGGTCCAGGTCTAGGGGGAACCCTCAATGGAGACTGGGACCGAGGTGACGGTGGAGGTCGTCGAGGACTGTTCGGTCGTTCTGGGAGGCCTGGTAACGGCTTTTTCGGCGGCTCTATCGGTTTGGAAACTTTCTTTAACGAACGGCGTGTTTCTTTCTTCCGTAAGTCCGTTAACAAAGCATGTCGTCCTGACGCCTAAGGACGAAAAAAGAATATTCAACAAAAATACAGATTGTGTATAGACTCTGAACGTTGCAGGATTCAGCAATCATTCACAACTCTCAAAAAATAGAATGACGCGCGAAGTCTGAACATCAAATAACATCCACTTTACACAATATGAGTTTCTAAATCCCAAGGGTTGTTTTATATATTCTAATGAACACTCTCCTCTCAGTCTCTGATCAGCGCCGAGGAGCCAGGGGGAACGCCCTACCCTCTCGCCCCACCCTCTCGCCCCTCTCCTTTTTTGCTAAAAATTCGAGTTGGAGCAGCTAACCCTGAAAGCGCTCGATCAAGTTTCCCATATTTAATTAGAAAACAGTCCTAAGCAAATACGCGCGCTGATTGGTTAAAAATCGTGTTTCTAAACTCGATAGAAACACAGAACTAGCACGAGCTATTGACTTAATGATGGCGCGAGTAACGAGAATTTACATTTTGATAATCAAAGTTAACAAGTTGTTTTCCCTTTTTTCGTCGCGGTGTTTTCTAAAAGA